AGTATACATTTTCCAACAGTATTCTTGAAGAATGAGGGCTAGGGAGGAACCTCATTCAGTAAAGTTCCTACCATTCATTTGTGAAAGCCTGAGTTTGATTCCTAGCACCCATGTGAAAATGTTGGGCTTGGTGGCCTAGGCCTATAATTCCAGCTTAGGGGAGGTAAAGACAAGAGGATCCTAGGGGTTTGCTGGCCAGTCAGTCTGCTGAGTCAGTGAGCTCCAGGTTCCCAGTGAGAGACGATTTCTTAAAAAATAAGATGGGCTGGCGAGATGGCTCAGCAGTTAAGAGCACTGGCTGCTCTTTCAGAGGGCCTGGGTTCTGTTCCTAGCACCCACATGGCAGCTCACAACCATCTGTAACTCCACTTCCAGGGGCTCTGATGCCCTCTTTTGAGCTCCATGGACATTGCATGCCCATGGTACACCTACATAAATGCAGGCAAAACACTCAGAAAATTTAAATAACTAAAAATTTTTTTAAATGCTGGGCGTGGTGGCACACGCCTTTAATCCCAGCACTTGGGAGGCAGAGGCAGGCGGATCTCTGTGACTTTGAGGCCAGCCTGGTCCACATAGTTCCAGGACAGCTGAGGCTGCAGGGAGACCCTGTCGCAAAAAGACCAAAAAAATAAATAAAAAGATGGAGAGGAAGACACCTGAAGTCAACCTCTTGCCTTCACACATATGCGTGCATGCACACATATGCATATATACACACACATAAGTATAGATACACAGACAAAACATAACACATATGCACACACATGTGTACATATACATGCACGCACACATACACATATAGATACACAGCCATGTACACATAGACATAGACACATAATACACATGCACACATACCTATACACATGGATACACACAGATAAACAGACATCGCATACATATTGACACAGACACACACACACACATGCACACACACACACAGGACCCACTTCAGCAGAATCATGAGGACGTGGGAACAGCAGCTCTGTCCAGTTACCAAACTATAGATAACATTTATTCTCTTCTCAATGAGTTGTATTTCAGATTTTCGACAATAACAAATCTCATATTTGGCTATTTTTTAATGTTTAAGAAACAAATATTCTAGAACAGTATGTTTGACTAGGTAAAGTCATTTTTACATTATGAAAATGAGCCATATGGAGAAAAGTGGAAAAAATGTCCATCTCCTGTGCTTCTTTCAAAGTCTACTTGGAAACCAAGCATCACTTTACATCCCACACTATTTCAGCTTTCTGTAATGGACTGTCACTAAGGAGTAGACTTTCCCCCCAGAAATCCAGATAGGTCTATTTCTTAAGAGAAAGCAAAAGGGCCTCACAGATCAGTACTTTGTGTGCAGTGGTCACAGAATGTCGTAAGCTTAACCCCCACTGCACTTACCCCCTCAACCTGAGTTCCTCCCTCACAGGTAGAAGAGTTGACACAGGGGAACATTGAAATTTGTTTTAGTTCCAGCTTCTCTGCATCCTTCTGGTCCGAGTCACTCAAAGAACCCAGCTCTTCCGTCTTCATCACACTCCCAGTTTGCAGGCCCGTTAGTAAGTGTAAGAAGAAATGTGCCCAAAAGTAAAGGAACGTGTAGCAACCAGGGCGATGTCCTCCACTCACCAGCCACAGAACCCTCCGAGTACCGTCACCAGAGGAAAGCACAGTTCAGTTGAATGGCAGAGCCATTTTGAAAAGAAGAGATGAAAGGGGGTGGAGGCTTACGGAAATCTTTTTAAACTTCAGACTGTTTTTCCACAGCACGGTGACGGCCATGTGTGCAGCAGGGAGGGTTGTTGTCAGTGGGAGTCTTCATGATTTGACAGGGAGGATAATAGTTCTGACAGCTCTATTTTACTTCTAAGCTTGGCGTGTCAGGCACAGCCCCCTCCTTTCTTTGTAGAGGTGACAAGTCGTTTCTAAAGGGATGTCAGCTGTACCGTAGCTGAAGAGGAAGGAACCAGCAGGTAGATGCGTGCGCTCACTGCCCAACTCAGGTCCACCCATCTTTCCCGTTCTGTGCGCCACCTCATGACAGAATGATGCTACCTATGGATCTTTTAAATTCCTTAAGTTCTTGAACTTGATCAAGTTTCACAACACAACATGGAATATGGAATAATTGTGGGCAATAATTCTATATCGTGTCCTCCGAATACAAGGACCTCCAAAGTGTGGTGATGGAGGAGGTTTGACTGAGTCAATATTCTGCCCAGCAGCATGTTCCCAAGCATGAGCCCCAACACTAACTAAACCTGATCTCTTCCCTGCAGTTCATGAGCAGGCAAGTGGGGACTCTCACTAGCCACAAGAAAGCAGACTTGGCCCAAAGCCACTTCTGGCTCTTCTGGCTGAGTTGCCTGGGGAGCCGTTTCCTGGCCCCGTTACCGCCGAGCTTAGGCAGGGCCATGGCTGTTAGGCATC